TATATGTGCCAGTACGAGAGAGGAAGAGAAATAGAAACGTGAGTGTGTCTGGGGTTATATATACGTATTATATAAAAACTGGATCGAATCGCAGATGTCTTCGTCCCCTTTATACCGTATACTACTGCGAGATATTTGAATGTTTCTCGTAAAAAGACACTAGACTCCGTAAAGGGAAAAGGGTAAATGTATGCGCATACGTTTTACTAATGACCGTATGACAAATATATATACTCGGGGCCCTCTCGCTCTCGTGCTGGAGACTCTCGGAGCTATGAAAATATATTAAAAAGCATAAAAATATATTTATCAAATGCGAGTCTCGTGTTGGCGAACTTTTTCACTTTTACGCGCTCGCAGTGGTATAAGTCGATTATGGTCAGACGCGTATCATTTTTGCAAATTATAAAATGATTTTAATCCGAATTTAAGGGTTATAATAAAATTCCACTCGATAAAAAAATATCTTAATGCTCGAGCGATGTATAGTACAGTACGTATACCCGAAGTGAAAAAGAGGCTATCACCTCTCCGTTCGAGGTCAGTGAATACAATGAGCAATTTTTTTTCTACCAACCATACCCAAGGCGTATGTATGTATGTATGTGTGTGAGTATACGCCCTGTAGCCCCTCTAATTGTCAGATTGCGTGTCTCGGAGTTTCTCAATGGATAAAAGAGAGCCCGAGGTGGATGTGGCAAAATAGCTTTGAGCTTGTCGATAAGAACAGGTGTATACCTTCGTCTCTGTACATTGGGCGTAACAACCCTAATGCGCGAGCACTACAGCGGAGAATGTGTAGTGGCGGCTTCGAGGGTTGTACTTTGAGTTTCTCGAATTAAAAAAAAAAAAAAAAACTCGCTGCGATGAATTTCATCGATCTGAAAATTCCCTAATACGAAACCATTGAAATACTAAAATATAGATCAAACGAATTCGAATCGATGGCAAACACGCCGTTTCACCTCGCTAATTGCAATATTTTCCTCTTGACAAATTGTACACATTCGGAGAATACGTTAGTACACTATCGCGATAAAATATATACTATCGCGCGGGGCAGTATATTTTATGAAGGAAAAAAGGGAAAATATCACATCGGTGGTATACTCGGGGAGGGTGGAGACGTCCGACAGTCATTGCGAGTGGTAATAGCGCCCGCGTGCATGGGAGCTACGATGGTCTTTATTCCTCTTCTTTCGGATACACACACAAAAAAAGGGTCGATTATTGTGCTTCGCTAATCGAGCGTGTAACGGCGCCGTGGAAATTTGTTTCTACACGTTGCGCATACGTGTCTGTGTATGTGTGTGTGTGCGAACTGCTATAATACCGGTACTTCTAATTTTCGCGAGTGTGTCGCCGGCCGTACAGATAGTCTGGCAGTCGAGGCAATATATACACACGACACGACGCCCATAGTATAGTGAGAGACAGAGAGTAGTATAGTATGGCAGTCATTAGGGTGTAATCGCCATTGCACGTGTCCCTCTTCGTGTGTGGCATGTATCTTATATCTCGCTCGATTAATCTTTTCTTTCTGGGGCGTTTCCAGGCTTGATGGCCGTCATGAATGTTGCTAACGAAATTTAACCTCCTCTACCTCCCTCCGTCCCTTGAATTATTTATCCACGTGCGTATACACTAGATCCTTAACAAATATCACAGAGTAAAGAGGCTGCTTCGCGACTATTTCACATCGTATACAATATAATTCTCGAGAAAAGCTCGCGAGCGTACATAATTCAATTCGTGCTATTATTTTCGAAATACGAGCGAGCTTATTAATTTTGCTCGGCGCGGCAAAAAATGAAATATTGCAGGGGGGTACCGCGGTTCGATGCAGCAGTGTATATCGAGCTCTCGGAAACAAAAGCAAGCGCGGTGTGCAATACAGCAACCAACGGCGCGGCGATGGCGGCGTCAGAAACTCACAGATTAATAAACTCCCCGGAGACTCGTGCCAACCGCAACAATGCAAGAGCGGCCCAACGCCCGCGCGCGCGAGCCAACACCACCGACGACGTATAATACACCCACTCGCACACACATAAAGAGAAATTCACAGACGGCAAAAAGCGAAATATATACGTGTTAGTGGCATATATATCGATCGCTGCTTTTCGCGCGTCTTAAACAATTAACTGTATCCATCGTGAATGCGTCGCGATCCGTGGCCGTGTATGTATGAATAAATGCGACGCGTTGTACAAGCGCACACGCGTCGACTCTCGATATACATATAACAATCGGCGACGTACTATGACACACACACACACACACACACACACACACACACACACACACACACACACACACACACACACACACACACACANACACACACACACACACACATGCAAACGTCGGTCATGCATGCCTGGTTGACTGGCTGGCGCAGTATTTTCGAACGGTCCCCGGCGAGCGCCAACGAAGAATGATAACGACTGCCATGCGCGCGGGATATAACGATGTGTAACTCGAATACGCGAGAGAGGCTAAGGGCACCCTGGTGGCAGTTTCGGATTCCTCTGCTCTACTCCGCTCCTCGCTCGCTCGACTGTACACGAATATATAACGTACGATATGTATATAGATGTATCTACGTACGAACGGGCTTATGCATAATACACGAGTGTACGGGGAGAGAAGGACGAAAAAAAAAGAAGGAGTCGACGCTCGACACCGGTGGAACGTTTTTGACCCAGCGATAGAACGGAATGGTTCTTTGTTTCTTGCGGCACGTATACGCGCGTGGGTGAGCGTGTTATCGTTGCAGAAAATTCAATCAGCTGCGAAGCTTCTTTCGTACAGAGCCCGTTCTTTTTATGCTATATATAAAAAATGGGGCTAATTAAACGTCAACCGTACAGTTTTTGAAAACCTTACAATCCTCGGTGATCCGATATACATACATCGAGCCTTCGTTAATTGAAACAGCTCTCTCTCCCTCTCTGTCTCGTGCGCTTTCGAACGCGACGTAAACGTCGCGCAGGCTGCACTTGTTTCAGCGATCGAGCCGACAGCGTCTCTCACTCGCTCTCGGCTGATGATTCAACATTTTAAATCTGATTATTCCTAAAAATAACATACTGAAATTTAAAAGTCACAGCAGTTTTGTTGAACATTATATTTAACATACGTATAAAAATGTAGAGGTAGAGAGGCACTCGTTCATTCTCCTCGGCAGTAGTCATTTCGGGTACGTCAGAAGTTTAAAACATTTCGCTCGGGTTAGAGCGAGGTATCGTGTGCATATATATACCTGCAATTATTTCTCCCCATTACCCCCTTACTTAATTGCCCCGGTTATTTTGTTACGGAAAAATTCCTCGTTTGCGCGGGCGCGCGAGCTGCATTTAAAATTTAAATATCATACGCGCGCGGCGCAGACAATAGATCCTCCAGGGCCCCTAAAAGAACATCTCTCTTTCTTTCTTTCTTTCTTTCTTTTTCTCTCTCTCATATTTGGAGAGTTAAATTGGATATGGATATCTTTCAAGTGAAGCGCAAAAGTGAAGGGGGAAAATTGCTAACTAACTGAACAAACAATGCACAACGCTTCCTGCGCAGGCTCCTCCGTGGCCGCTTTTATACTTGTTATATTATAGCAATTTGCTTCGTTATAGTACCCCGAAAGTCCAATATTTTGTGCAAAAATTAAAGAGCGCCCGGCGCAGCTTGTCTGCAAGTATGATAACTAAAAGTCGTCGTAGTTTTTTTTAATACCCCGAGAAATAATCTAAAGTTTGCTTCATCAAAAAGAATGAATGTAAAAAAAAAAAAAAGAAGAAAGAACGAAAGAAAGAAAAAAAATCTCGACCCGTGCGGCAGAGAATGCTATTACAGAAAGAATGTTAATGAAATACTTGGCTACAATACGCGTCTAGAATTGCCCCGTGGAAATTGTTATAACGACGCGTGTCTTGCACAAAATTTTTTCATTCAAATTATAAAAGCGAGCGAACGTACACTGCCCTCGTAGTAATTTTAAGTAGGTGAAAAAATGTTGATTATAGCGCGCCACACGTTGCAATCGATATTTTGAGCAGCGCGGGGTGAGCGGACTCCAACCCTTTTGATCCGGGGTATAAAAATTCAAATTATTTTTTAAGCGAACGGAATGCGCTTTGTTACAGCGGATTTTAGCCGCGCGCACGATTTTAAAGTCAAATTACTAAAAGTTGACTCCGATTTTCGATTGTTATTTCGTGACGGGTATTGCACTTTGTAACGCCGCAAGCCGACGAAAATTAATGAAAATAATTTAACCTGGACCATCTACAATGTAACAATCGCAAAATCAACACGGAAATGGCAAAATAATTCCATCAAAGGCTCGGCTGAAAGAAAAACATGAGTTAGTTGCAGCTGAAATAGTTTAATTGAAACATTAATTAGGGTGAATCGAGGCATTAAATAATACTTTATTGGCACAAGGACGTGGCGCAGGCAGCAAAGTTTTTGGGTAAAATACTGATAGATATCATTTTAATTAGAGCCGCACCTATAGCCATCCCCTTGCACACATACACAGACATACACACACGAGCCTACTCACATCGAGGAACTCGTTAAACTCGCTCGAGCGAACATATCGCGTACAGCAGCAGCAGCAGCAACGCGGCGCGGCGCATAACTCGCACACATCCGTCCGAACTTTCGCTCGTCGCTCTCCGCTTACACACACACAAACACACATACACACACATTTATATAATGCAACTGCGTGCATGTGTGTGCATTTATATATATTTGTAAACGAAGCGGGCGTGCGCGGATACACATGCCCGAATGCATAGTCATGTACGCGTGTAAATTTATCAGCTATACGTCGGCGTACATACGTACTGCATATACAGCAGGGATCGAGAGCTGACGCGCATTCGACACACGGGAAGAGAGAGAGAGAAAAACAAACAAGCAAGTAGTACATTATACGTATGTAGCACAGGTATAAAGGTGGAAATCCCATTCACGTATACAATATATATACCTACCGATATGTACGTGGAAACATCCGTGAGCCCGAGCGCAGTGCTGCAGTTAGAGCCTAGCCAAGCAGAGAGAGAAGTAACACATCACTTTCTTACGTCGACGTGCGGCCGTGCATACAGCTGCACCGTTGTATCCGTATGCGTGTGTACGTCCGAGTATAAACAGTTCACGCGCACCTCTATGTATATACATTCACGTTATTACATATATACTATACACAAACTGAGCGCGAGGAGGCCGAAACTCACACACAAACTCACAACAGGCCGGGGGTTCGATACTACTACTACTTACTACCTATATACTCGCGCCCGTTGTGTGCACGATACTCTGTATTTAAGCGCACGAAACTGCCTCTCGGCTGCCTTCGTATTATAGTACTCTCTCCTGACCCTCGTCGTAGTCGTCGTTCGCTGCGTCGTCTGCTACTTTCTCGTGTTCACTTTATGTGCATCGTATCGATGGTATACACACGCTCGCGCGGCGAAGGAAAATTCGAGGAAACAGGAGTAAGCCCGCGCCAAGAGTTATGTTTGTATATAACCGCCTACTATACCTACCTACCTACACCCCCGCTATGTAACTGTGTGCGGCTATATAAAGAGAGAATAATGAGGACAACGTGACACCCAACTCCCTTTTTCGAAAGTTATCGTTCCTTTTTCTTTTCTTACTCTCTCTCTTTCTTTCTTTTTTTTTACACAACTGCCTGGAATTCCTTATTGTGACACTTCTTTGTTTCTCTTATTTCGCGCGAGTCACCGGCGCGTTATTATTGCACTAGTTGTTGCCGTTTTAAAATTAAATGAAAAACTTCGTTATATTGTGCGAGTCGTTATTTCTGTTTTATCCCTCGTAGCAGCAGCAGCGGCAACAGCAACTGTAGCAGCTGTCGTCGCGCGCGCGCACCGATGTAAATAAGCTTCAAAACTTATTTTTATTTTTCGCAAGAGTGCAATTAGCACGCACTGAATCACTCTCGGCAAAAGCTCCGCACTACGACGACGAAAGTACTTCCAGTCTGCCGTTGTTGGCTTCTTTTTTTTTTGGTTTACGCGTTCGCACCGACCTGAAACTTTCTTTTTTTTTAGCAAAACTCACATATTTTCAGTCTTCTTGGTTCTTTTTTTTACTTTCTGTCACCAAGCAAAAGTTCGTCTTCGACCCCTCACACAGAAACAGAACAACCAAATTCCAATTTTGGCATCTCATTAGAGAGAGAGAGATGCTCGGAGGCTACGGAGAATGTCGAAAGCGTCGAGTCATGACGCGTTACCACTTCTTCGCAAGCTCTCCGACCTCGATGACTAATAATAATGAAAAAAAAAATGTTTGTTTCAACCGCACAGCGCGCACAATGACGGAGAATCAGCTGCAGTGCGCGCGAGGATCGAGCGAGCGAAACGGGCGGCGCGAGGGGGTGGCGGCAGCGGTGGTGGCAGTGAGAGAGAGTTGCTCGATGCGCGGCTCGAGTACGACTGAAATGGGTTGGCGCGCGCCTCCTGCTTTCAGCCGCCCCGCGTGTGCGCTATATGTACGTGCGTGTGCCCCGCTGCACACGTACACAGTAGGTATGCTATATATATGTACGCGCAGCAGTCGTGCTTTTGCGCCTTGGCAAAAGCAGCACCGGCCACCGCACCGCACCGAAGATTCGAACAATCGGCCGCCACCGCCGCCGCGCTCGTATACATACATATCGCAACTGTAGAATTGTCAAAGCTGATTGACTGATGGCTCTGCTGTGTGTACTTATCAAGCTGTGTGACATTTGAGGAGATATACCATTTTGGCTGTATGTACCTTGCACGAATGTACAATTTGTACATATTGCCAATCCGTATAAATATTCTGATGAGCAGAAAATATTTTCATAACTGTATAAAAAATTTATATAAGATATATAAAATTTATACAATAAATTTCAATTTTCTACTTGCAGATTTAACAGATACAGTACTCCGCCCTCTGGTGATGGAGGCTGGCATTAAGTATCTTTAAATTTTCATGAACTTTTTGAAAAATTGCCGCAAAATTTATATCAGGATTGAAACATTAATTTTCAAAAAATTATATACATGATTGAATTTTTTGCATTTCACTTACAGTTTTGTATAAAAAAATAAATCAGTGTATACTAATTTTGAAAAAGATTTCAAGTAAAGTAAGTTTAAATACAATTCAGTATTGTCCTTTTTAACTTTAATGTTTGATTTTACATTATATCATCATTAAAGTAACCCAAGTAAATACTTTTTAACAATGAAGTCAAGACAGTTTATAGTAAAGCAAATTAACAGAATAATGAGTTCCAAAACAGTACTTTTTTTAAATCACTTACAAGTAGACCACGTAGTACACGTTTTGGCAAGTACTATACGAATCAACTCAAGGTAAATATCGTAGCTCATAACGTATTTTCAGCGTGACTAGCGTAACCTTAAATAAAGGATATTCCTTAAAATCCAGCTCTTTGTGCTGAAAAATTAAGGAAACCCCTATTCCTCCCTCGTTCTCGCACGCGCGCGAGCATAGATTAAAGTGTGGAATACAGCCCTAAAGCATATAAGAGAACGACCATATTGGCGATTTGAGACTGAGACTCGTTTCGGGACAAAAATCAATTTGGTGTATGTTTGTTTTATTTCGTGATTTACTCTCTCTCTCTCTCTCACTTGCATTTGCGATAGTTTGAAATAGAGAAAGAGAGAATTCCCTTTAATTTATCTCTGCTCTCGCGCGTTCGAATTCAGCGCGTAATCCCGGTTCGGGAATCGGAAGTATCGTCCGAAAGCGTAGCAGCAACAGCAGCAGCAGCAGCCGTGAGCGGGTTGCAGCTCCGTACATACATATAGATAGCAGGGAATTGAAAAACACCGAATGGCTATAGGTTGGCCTTCGCCGGCAGTAGTCAAGCAGGCGGCCGGAGCAGAGTAGACTTTACTTCTTTTTTTTTCTTTTTTTTGCCTCGACACTCTTATTTTCATTTATCCTTTGTACCTTGCTTAACTTTATTCCTTTACGCTTCAGTTTATTATTTTTTCTCCGAGTAATTTATTTGCATCCAGGTCATTATTCTTCTTCATTCCGCTTCGTGACTTCATTGCTTTGACGATTGTATTTCTTCTTCTTCTTTTTTGCGCTTTGTCGATTCAAGCACCATGATTAAACGGACTAAAATGTCTTGTAAATTTTTTCCCTGGTACTTTATAACGAAGCTTGGAACAAAAGGCTTATTTATTTCATATTTACAAGAGGACAAAATTTAGATTAAAACAAAATCTTTCAGCTTTGTAAGAAAAATGTCACGTACTAACGGAAAACTTGAAAACACACGTGAACGAATCGAGAAAATCACAGCGACGTATTAGCGTTGATTGAACCCCTCCAAAAAAAGGAGAGAAAATAAGATTTAGTGGTAAAAAGAAAAGAAACAATGCGAAGAAATATCCATCCTAGTCCAGAGCGAGAGAGCCAAAAACATAGATTCTCTCTTTGCCTTTTTTTCTGCGCAAAGTCCTTTCCTCCCCCTTAAGCTGCTGCTGCTGCACTCGCAGAACATTGAATTCTCGTATTCTAGTCTTGTACGAGCAGCAGTGCGTATACGTGAGTTGGTGCACGCACAAGTATATTATATGAACTTGCACAGGAGGATTCGTTTCCCAGCGAGAAACTCCTTCCTCTTATACCCTCTACGCTGGCGTCTCCCACCCTCCCTCTCTCTCACTCTACTCTTTATTGCGTCACCTGAAGTTCCTACCTTATACTCTTAGAGCTTGGTAAACATTTTTCTTTCACTTTAAGCCGCTATAGGTGTGCTTTCCTCCGTCTCGAGTTGTGTGTATATAGTGCGATTTAATATCCAGAAAAGAATTATGAAGGCAAATTCTTCTCTTTTTTTCCTTTCTCTTTCTCTCTGTCTCATTTGGATTCGTCAAAGCTCCACTCGTATGTATAATCCCAACGGCGCCAACATTTTTCCACCTGCTCAAGTAGCTTAGCTCAAGAGTCGAATGCGCGGATATACGCGTACGCATAAATTTCTAAAGTTTTGGAAAAGACTTTGGGCGTTAATAAGCTTTCCCCCTTCAACGAGTTTTTCGAGTTTCGAAAATATTTACCCAGAGCGCGAGAATGAAAACACGCACGGCGCCGGCAGCGGCGCACACAATTGATTTCGCGCAACGTAATGCACTTTTCATGGGAGCATAAATTATTTGTTTTGCAAAATTGTTGTGCACTTCGCTGCTACTGCTGCTGCTGCTGAGCTGAAATTCGATACGAAATTTTAACGAAGTAAGAGCTCGCGCGAATGTGTCACGGCGGATAATTCAGTTTGTTTTTCATTAACTCTTCGAGGGCAAGTTTCGAGAGGCATGCGTTGCAAAGTTTTATTGACAATCTCTCTCTCTCTCTCTCTTTCTTTCCCTTAGCTCGGGTAAGGGTATATAATAGCTGCTAGCGGCACAGCGGAGTAACAACAACGGCGTCTCTCTCTCGCAGTGCACTCTCGCGAGGAAACTGACTATAAAGTTGCGCGGTAGCTCCGTGCACAGCCCTAGTCACGGGGCTTGCTGAAAGAGCAACACGAAAGAGCCAAGTAAAAGGGTGCATAGTAGTAGGCCTAAACTAGGCTTATTACATAACCATGGGAGCGGCAAGTTACAAGTGTTTCATTAATCAACTTAATCGCAAAGTCGGCGTCAAAGGTGTACAACTTGTTAAAGACGAGAGCGCGAGAGACTTGCCCTATAGTTGCATAAGTAGCTGCAAGAACACACACACACACACACACACACACACACACACACACACACACATACACACACGCGACTGCACTGTCGGGCGAATGGAACGAGGCAAAAAAAAGTTTATAAGCAGATAAGAGAAACTGGATCTTCTTATGGAGAGAGAACAGAGAATAAGAGGCGACGGAGCTGATGCAGATGTAGTAGATGCCATATAAGAAGTGTGTTAGTCGTTGCTGCGACAGGAGATCTGCATAAAAGCATAAATATACATTGTAGAGAGAGATAGAACTTCGTGTATTAAGAGTATTACATTTTCATGTGACAATGTGACATTGAGTTTAGAAAAAAAAGTAATTTTATTCTTTAAATTATTATGTTCTAGAGATGTTTCCAAAATGAAACGTGAACATTGGGATTTGAGCGATATTGTTCGCGTGTTGATCAAAACATTTTTATAGAAATATATTATGTTACAGTTTTAAGTTTATGGTTTTATTTCAAACAAATAAAAATTATTTCTTCAACAATTTTTTTTTTGAATTATCGATTTTCATTCTTAGTTAAGCTCATAAATAAATAAGATTGTGGAGAATTTCTTTCGTATCTTGTCAGAAAAAGCCTGACTGTAGTTACATGAAAGTGTAATAGATGGCAGCATAAACTAGGAAGTGGTGAAATTTCTTTTATGTAATGATGAATTAAAAAATTTAGATGTTTTTAATACAAAGTCAAGAAATACTAAGAGTATTAATCCATTAACGCGCAAAAGTGCAATTTTGTGCATGAATTTTCCATTGTAAAAAAATTATACATAAAGTTAAAATATTTTCTTCAAAATCCATATCCAGGGGTTTTTGGGTATTCTCTTTCAGAATCCGGTATTATTTTTGCGATAAATAAAGATTATCATCGTTTATTTTGCAATTAAAAAAAAAACGTGATTTTTTGACTTAAAATTTTTTTTCAAAGTCAATTTTGTACCTTGCCCTGCCTTCGGAGGGTTCCCATAACACCAGAAATCGTGCACTTTTTCTTTGAACCTTCAAAAAATGCACTGCCGCGATTTTTATCCAGCCCCTATATTTCTAAAATGGCGAATTGATCGGTAGCAGCGACATGAAAATTCCTTCATTTTTTATTTGTAAATTATTGACTTTATAAAAAAAAAGTCGTACCATGAAAAAAATTCAAATTTGTTCAAAGAATATATGTGAATTTTTTTAGAATTTTTTCAGAATTTTTTCAGAATTTTTTCAGAATTTTTTTTCGAGCATATGGATTTTTTCCCCAGGCCGAGAAATGGTCGTATTTTGCAAAATTTTCAACGGGTTCTGAAAAATTCTGAAAGAATTCACGCGTATTCTCTAAACGATATCAAATAAGTTTTTACACTCCAAATCGTACTTTTGAGTTGATATTTAGCGCATGCAAAATAGTTTCTGAGTAATAAATGATGGAATTTTCATATCGCTGCTTGGTATAAATTCGCCATTTTAGAAATATAGGGGCTGGATAAAAATCGCGGCAGCGCATTTTTTGAAGGTTCAAAGAAAAAGTGCACGATTTCTGGTGTTATGA